AACATCACAGTACTCCACATGATCGTCCACCATTGTCGCCGCCGCCGAGTTAGCATACAGGTCTGTCCGTATCCCACGCTGTGGGGGCTGTGCACAGCAACCCAGTACCATTGTGCACAATGCATTTAAAACCTCCTCCTTCGATTTCGCTGCGTCAATCCCGCGGTACATCCCTGCAGCTTTTGCAAGAGCACGAACTCTAGCATGGATAACACGATGGTACTTAATCTTTTCCCGCATTTCTTCACCACCATTCATACGCTTCAAAAGCACACCGTCGTCGTTCACCTCCATTCCCACAATGCCAACAAATGGAATCTGCTTCGCCTTCAGCAGTGAGGCAAGGTAGTACACATCCTCAATACCCTTCACATTTTTGTCAATAACAAGTCCCTTAACATTACGTTCTTTACGCTGTTGCTCAAGAAGTTCGTCCAGACGTTTCTGCAGAGCATCGAAAATCTCCTTTGTAGTCTCCCATACAGGTCGTTTTGCCGTTGTCCCTGCAAGAAAATCGGCACCAGAAAAGAAGATCCACCCAAGGCCATCCCTTCTGAGTTCATTGACTAGTTCTCGTCCCATTGTAGTTTTCCCAACGGCAGGAACGCCGGAAAGCAACACACATGAAAACTTTGGCGGTTCCTTCGATACCAAAGCTGCTAAAGTGGCATTACCGACACTTACTCGCGTATTTTTTGGCATCGGTAGAGGCCTTCCCGACTGATTTTGCTGTTGAGGCTGATACTGTTGTTTCTGTTGTTGCAAGGATGCCACCAATGAAGCCGCAAAGGATGAAGGCGGCGGTGGTGGCGGTGGTGGCGGCGGTGGCGGTGGCGGTGGTGGTGATGGTGGCGGCGGCGGCGGTGGCGGAATTGTGCCGTTGGTAAACAATGTGGATAGCAAGGCCGGATCAGGACCTTTTGTCATCAGCATTGCTTGCATGGGAATTCCCACTGGAGTACCGAACGGTATTCGTCCACACTGAGCTGGCATGAATGACGGCGGTGGCAGTGGTGGTGGTGTTGTGGATTGAAGTGCTCCAAGTCCTGAAAAAAAAGATGAAATGATAGGGGGTGGCGGTGGTGGTGGCGGCATACCATGTGGTGCGAGATAAAATGCCCCCTGGGGCGGTGGTGGCGGAGGGGGAGGTAGTGCCGATGGCATCAGCGACGACACCACAATAGGCGCCTGATACATAGGTGGCGGCTGTAATGGTTGATGCAATGGCGTCCTTGTGCTGCTCCCTCTCATCTCCGCCATGGCGGGGGTGTTTGGCTGCCTGTAATTAGATTTGTGGACACCAGGGGGTGACTTTTTCTTTCTGTTCTTCCCAGGCAAAGAGGACGACTTCGACTTGGCATCGGGCTTCTGCTCCGCAGATGGTACCTTGGGCGTTGCTCCATCCATAAAACTCTCGTTTGAATTTGCCTTACTGGCCAACTCATGGGCCCCGCTTATGTCCTCAGCACATGCGTCGGACTTTTTCGGCACCTGCTCCAAAGCCAAAGCAATCTGGGCAGTGGATAATGCAGAAACCGGTTCTCCTACATTATCGCCCGTACTATGAGCTGCGCCAACAACCGTAGCAGTAGCAACCTCCTGTTCGGTCGTAGGACCGGTACCAGTCGTACTAGGAGGAGGAATTGTAGCTTCTGTTGTTGTCTTTGTTGTTGTTGTTGTTCCGGTACTAACAGCTGGGATAATAGTCATGTCCGCAGCAGCAGCAGCAGCAGTAGTAGTCGTATGAGTCGTGTTCATAGTGGCGTTGGTGTTGGTGCTGGTGGTGGTTGGGAGTGCTTCCCCTTCAACGCCCTGAACAGTGACGACAGCAGCGGTGTCTTCGGCCGGTGTTGGCCGTGTCTCTGATGACATGTTACAGCCTAACGCCTACACGAATAATTCCTGGTGATAATATTATTATTATTCTTATTATTATTATTGTTGTTGTTGTTGTTGTTATTTTCCTTCAAGAAATTGGGAATACCTCAGCTACGACTTTCTCTTTTTTTTTTTTTTTTTTGAAAATGTTTCGCCTTGTTGTTGTTGTTGTTGTTGCTGTTGCTGTTTTTTGTTTTCGTCGTCCTCTCTTGTATGGATTTCTTCCTCCCCACACGCTTACTCTGTCTTGCTGCCAATTGCTCTGTATGTATGTTTTTTGTGTGTCTGTGTGTATTTCTTGCCGCCAAGGAGTTTCACGGTGTCGTCCGTCTCTTTTTTCGGTGTTGTTTCTGTTTTTGTTTTCCTCCGCGCTTCAACGGGACGTCAAAAGAAAAAAAAAAAGAGGAAGGGAGGGGGAAGGGGGGAGGGGGGCAGGGCGGGGCAAAGCGGGGCGGGGCGGGGTGGGGCGGGGTGGGGAGAGCGCAAATTATTTTCGCGTGGGTGGATGTTCCTTCGATCCTTCCCTTCTGAAGGCTGTGGACGCTTGGCGATCGCTCTCGGCACACACGCACGCCTTCGCTTCTTCCTTTTTTCCTGTTCTCCTTTTATCCCTCTCTCTCTCCCGCATACAGACGCACAGTGGCGGTGTTGGCCGTGTGCTGGCAGTTGAAAGAATCATGGGAAAG